TTTGTGGGTAGCTCATACGAATTTGTAGTAGGGATATAGGACAAAAGTCGGATTTGTGGGTAGCCTCATACGAGTATGTAATAGGGATATAGGACAAAAGTCGTAGTTGTGGGTAGCCCATACGAGTATGTAGTAGTGATATAGGATAAAAGTCGTAGTTGTGGGTAGCCCATACGAGTATGTAGAAGGGATATAGGACAAAGGTCGTATTTGTGGGTAGCCCATTCGAGTAAGTAATAGGGATATAGTACAAAAGTCGTATTCATGGGTAGCCCATAAAAGTATGTAGTAGGGATATAGGACAAAAGTCATATTTGTGGGTAGCGCATACGAGTATGTAGTATAGATATAGGACAAAAGTCGTATTCGAGGGTAGCTCATACGAGTATGTAGTAGGGATATAGGACAAAGGTCGTATTTGTGGGTAGCCCATTCGAGTAAGTAATAGGGATATAGGGCAAAAGTCGTATTCGTGAGTAGCTCATACGAGTATGTAGTATGAATATAGGACAAAAGTCGTATTTGTGGGTAGCTCATACAGGTATGTAGTAGGGGAAGTACTACCGCACAGGAGCGCAGTGAGCCACAGACCCTCCAGACATCCTCAAGAGGAATGGGTCGAATGAATGTGGAGTCTGCAATGTCGGACATCACTACATATGTGTAAGCTTCTAACAGGTATATGCCAGTACAACGAATGGGAGTCTTCCTTAAACCTAAACCCAAGTCGACATAGGCCTCGCAGATGATTTGTATAGATCTTCACTGCATTTCATAGAAGCAGCTTGTAAAGGCGAGAGAACAGCAATTGATCTGAATGTGTACGTGCTATAAACTTCGGTGAGGCTGTGCGTCGTTATGAACAAGTACATGTGCACTGAACTATAGTGGCTACCCACATGCCTGGTGTTAGGGTTTAGAAACCCTACTCTAATACATGTAAATGTATGCATCTGGATTCGTTATGTATACATTTATCGTGGTGCCCATGCCATATACAAACACTACTCATGCGAACGCACACACATGTACTACTACATGCAGAACTAGTCGCATAGACCGATACAAGGCATAGGTTCGGTAAAAACTTACGGTTTGTGTGGGGTTTCCGAGGCGGGAACAGGCTGAATTTGATTGGCCGCGCCCCAACACCTTTCGCAATGGGCACCAGCGGTGCAGACATAATCTGTTAATGTGATGTGATGTTAAAGGTCAAACAGTTGACTGTGAGTACATGAGCCGTCGACAGGTCAGTTAGGCAGACATAATCTGTTAATGTGATGTGATGTTAAAGGTCAAACAGTTGACTTTGAGTACATGAGCCGTCGACAGGTCAGTTAGGCGGACGATACAGGTCTGATGCTAAAGCGACCCAAGACTTCTATTGCCATAGCATATGTGTATATGTCCAAGACCCCGGCACACACATAACACGTGCTTTATACCACCCCAGCACACAAACAACACATGCTTTATATCACCCCAACACACAAACAACACATGCTTTATATCACCCCAGCACACAAATAACACATGCTTTATACCACCCCAGCACACAAACAACACATGCTTTATATCACCCCATCACATAAAACAACACGTGCTGTAAATCACTCCAGCACACAACATA